GGTGGACTGGACATTGTGCAGGGTATTTTGAATGCATTAACTTTTTTATGTGTTCCTCTACCAAAAATCCCTTTCCTCCCATTTCCAGTTGGATTTCTGCCATTTCACTTTCCTATAGCTACCACGACCAACTTAAATTTATCTGGGGGAACCCGAGTACAAGACCCTCTTCCCTTGGTTAGTCATCCTTCTGAACACAGAAGGCACATCAGTGTAACTTAAAAAAACCAGAAGCTTAATACCAGTATAGAAAGTTATCCCTGCCTCTCGCTACCAGTTTCTGAATTACCCAGGGTAAATGGATGTAGCAGACATCCCCCTCCTGTGAGGGGACAGAGTTAAAAGGAAATCGGCACTTAAGAGAAGGCTACTTATTCGTTTAATTATCCCTTTATTTGAAAATCAATAATGAACATGAAAAAAAAAAATGTTCTGAAAGATGTTTCCAATCATTGAAGCTAGAAACATTGGCTCCTCTGTAGTAAGAACAGATAGATGGGACGAAATCTGGAAGATGGCCAGAGGCTCTGCAATATGGAAGGCAAGGTATGTGGATCCTAGCCTTAATAAACAGTTTCTCTTTCATAACATAAAACCTGACCTCAGGAAAGCATCCTGCAACAAAGACTGCACTGACTCCAAGGCTACAGTCCTGTCCTTCCGTGTCTTTTAAACCACGAGACACTTCTACTGATGCTGCATCTCTCAGCTGCAGCTTTCTGTTGCCATAGGCTTTACTGTTGCCATAGGCTCTGTTGTGATTCTGCTTGCCTTGATATCTACCTGGAAAACCCCTTTGGGTTGTGGGTGGGCTTATTCACCTACCTTACCAACATCTGATTCTGTACCCATCTGCAGAAAACTTGGAGAAGACTCGCATCGGCGCTGGAAAGGTATTTTCAACAGAGAACAGACTTATTAATAACAAGAGACAGAAGGAAAGGAAGAAAAAAAGTCAATCCCACATACTGATGAGTTACCATAGTCAACGGGTCCTGCAGGACTTGATCAATGACAGCACACAGCTCTTCTGTTTGTTGTCTGAGCTGGGCAGGGGAGCACATCTGAAAAAGGAGGATGGATCACAGAGTTAACCTGTGGTTTTTGTTTTCAAGTAGAGATCTGGAAGGCATATAACAGCACTACCTCTGAATGGGTATCCAAAGCAGTGCCTTCAGTCACCATAGCAGTCTTGGTTGGCTCTTCTAATGCCTGTAATTCAAAAGATTGATGTGTGATACTGAGTTCAAAATTTTAAAAACCAAGCAAATATACACTTTTTGGAATACTATGTTTGTAAAGCTGGCACTTTCTATTTCACCATGGAAAGATGGAAAAAGAGGAAATTTCAGGCCTAGTAAGGTTCTTCAGGTTGCCAACTATTGATTCTGAATTAGAGCAGGGGTTGCAGAGACGGAGAGAGAGTATTCAGGCTGGGTGAATTGTCTCTACTTTTAGAGATCAGAAACTACAAGTTTAAATTGTCTTCCTCTTTGGCAACAGCCCCCTCCTTCATGGTAAATGTAACGCGGTGAATGTGTGCCGTGTGCCACAGAGGGGTCGGGGTGGCTGCCTGCCACGCAACATCGGAGGAAAGCCACCAGCTGTAAGGAGGTGGACAAGGAAGGGGTCCAAGCATGCAGGAGACCCTTTCTTTTCCTCCAGTAGACATTTTCTTTTAAAAGTGCCTCCTGTTTAAAGAGGATGGTGATTCCCCATTGCAACAAAACCAGTACTTGACATTTTGGGGTTTTAGCCTGAAATCAGAAATGTATAAAGCGAAATATGTGCTATACATATGTAATGTCACACTAAGCAGGTATGCACAAAACAAAACAAAACAGAAGCTTCTTGTGCTTAGATATACCTCCTGCTTTCCTACACCCGTACTTGGAGCAGGTTTGAGAACAGTTGGAAATCAGTTTGCTGATCCCTCAGGAAAGTCACAAAACACCCTCAAAAGCCAAACTCCAGTGCTCATTTCCCTTTTCATCTTCCTCCTGAGTCTTTAAGGCACACTCTTACTGCCATCACCCATTTTTGCTTTGAAGCTATTTTCAAAAAGACTCCTTGCCAAGACCAAAAATTACTTTGGAAGCCTGCTGATGTGTGAAGCTGGACTACAGGGGAGGGTTGTGGATTTTTTGTTTAACACTTCATGTTTTTCTGGAGTTTCATTTTGCTAGTGATTTAGGGGGAAAAAAAAAAAGTGATAATATGAGAAAAAAAGAGCATTCCAGTAAAGCACTTTTTCATGAATGTGGGATTCTGTGGGAATGGACTGATGCCAGTGAAGTGAGTATGAGGGCTGCCAGTCACAGAAGCCATACATGGAGCTGGGAGGAAAATGGCAGAATCTTTAAAGAAAAGAAAATGATCATGTACTTAAGTAATTATTTCTCAGTTTGATTTTGCTGAGTACAGTTTTTTCTTTCCTTGTCCAGCTACTGGCAGCATACACCTATGTATGTGTAACTGAAAAGTTAATGACAATTTACTTTTAATGACATACACAAATGATCCTGCACAGAAGCACATTTATGGAACAACAATCAGAGAGAGCAGTAAGACAAAATGAGAGTAGTTTCTTTCCAAACAGATCTCTTCCCTTCCCTCCAACTCTAGAGAAAACTGTTGGCCTTAGAGTAGTTGCAATTCAAAAGGAAAAAAAGTAAAATAATTATTATTTTTGGCATACAGAAATTAATGTATTCTTATCCTGAGACAGAAGATGAAAAGATAAGTAGCCTTCCTCATCTCTGCTGTCTTATCACTGCCACCCAGCTAAATTCTCAGATTGACAGACAGTCCTGTAGAAGAGGAGGGCTCAGCTAAAGAGAGTTCAGCACTACATTCAAGTACGGTGTCCCCGGTTCAGCTTCAGCTGAGATTACACCCTCTTGGTAAACATAAAATGAAGTGATAAAATGAAGTAAAAGAGTCATTCCAGTACCTATTAGTGCCAGAATTGCCCAAGCAGCCTGTTGTAGAGAGATGATGAGTCAGAATTTGAGTTAGGAAAACAAACAAATTTTAATCAGTCACATGTTCAGATTGGAGAAATTGCTGAGCTTCTCAAAACCCCCAAGAAACCAGTAGGGTAATGACCATAATAAAGTAACTGTTAAAAAATGCATGTTTCGCTTTCATATTTGCTTCTCCAGAGCAGTGGGAGAGGGTGAACACAATCAAGGGTAAGAAACAACTACCCAGAACATACTGAGGAATCTTCCTAGAAGAACTACAGCCACATATACAAGTCTCTGTTCAGAACTAAGACTCTGGGTAATTTAAGTACCAAACATCAATTTCAGTAGAAATTGGGTACCCAAATATCTTTGCATTTCAGAGCTTTCATTGACTAAAGAACTCAGGTGAACGCAGCACCAAAGTCTATGCGTTCCACAGTCCCCCTGAGATACGACCATCATGCAGGAGCCATGCTACAGAAAACTTCTTCCTTTTTGAACATTTAGGAAAGGAAAATTTTAATCTTCAAAGTGACCTGTCTAATTTCTTTCACTGTTTTATCTCTTTCCTTTTTTTTTTTTTTTTCTATTTGAAGAGCCCAAGTGCTCCAAAGAAAGAGAAGAAACAAAGAGAACTAGATTTTAGGTGACCCTATCACCTCTACCAAGGAAAAAGGTTCTGTTTAATCTGTTGTTACCTTTTCAAAATATAATTCAATTTTTTTCCAGCAGTGCTTTTTTTTTTTACATTTCCTCATAGAGAAAAATGTGAGCTTAAAGTACAACTAGCGTTTCTGAACTCATTACTGGAGTTATCATGCAAAAATGTTATGATTAATTTAAAGCATTAGTGCTATCTACAGTACTGCTGATTAGTGCTATCAACAGTATTCAAGCTTCACTTCCTATGCTGATGGTCTAACAATATTAAAAGTGGAACATTCCTATTTAGGCATTCAATTTTTTTTATTATATATGAAAAACAATAGTGGGAACACAATTTTTAGAAGAGTGCAATTTAGAGAATGAAAATACATTTATGACAGAAATTAAATGTTCAGCTGAAATAATCAGTTGTTAAACGACTAATTTTTTCCTTGCAAAGGGCAACTTGGAGGGTGTGATGCATATATGCCATTGACGTCAGCGATGACTACAACACTTCCCTCCTCTTTCCCCCAAGCTGTTCAATTGCTAAAGCTGTATGAGAGCTGAAAGGATATTGGTAAATGATCCGAACAGGATCTCCAATATTTTGTTAGAAGAATGAAAGCTCTTGGCAACATAAAGGAAATATAGAACATCGTTTCATCCACAGATGAACCACATCAATAGTAGCAGAAAAAAAGAATATTGTACTCTACGTCTGCACAAATTATTTCCTTTCTTTCTTACTACTATGTATTTATCTATAGCCTTAAGAAATATTGTGACATGAACTCATAATCTGGATGCAAGAAATTCACCTAGTAAATGCACACCAGAAGTACCTGGGGAAAACTACAATCTTTTTTTACCAAAATATTCTCAACATATTGTTGTCAGAAATGCTTTCCAGGTCCAGAAAGGTCCTGACATGCTTGATAATAACCATTTGTCCAGAAGTTTAGGTCTACCATCTGAGAGTGGGTAAAACTGGCTTCCAAGTTCCTGCTGTATGTTTTCAAGGAGTGACTTGAATCCGCATTTGCCATGATCAGTCCCTATACCAATGGTAAGGGTTCCCTCAAGACAAAAACATAAAGCTGGTCTCCAGTATAGCAATCACTGCCATATTTCCTCAGTTGCATTTCTTTCTTTTCATGAAAAAAACCCCACCAAACCAAACCACCACCGTCTTTTTCCTTCTGCATGAGGAGGAAAATGCTTTTTGGCTTCTTTTCTTTTTATCCTCTACAAGGAGAATATACTGTACTGCTGGTAGTCTGTTGTGTAGGTGATGGGATGCAATTACTAGGTCTTTGGGGTTTTCCTAGAAGTGTAACATCATATGGAAAGACTGTTTTAGACTCTCTTGAAGTTAGCCAAATTGCATTGTGACAAGAGAAAATGTGAAAAACAGCCATAAACAGAAAAAAAATAAATAATCTAAAATCTTTATTCTTTAAGGCAGAAATTTTTTTAATGTTTATTTAAAATTGAAATTATAGTTCTCTACTTGTAATAAATTGATAAATACAAGCCAGATAAGTCAACAGTGCTTTCATTTGCACTTCTTCCACCCATAGCCAGTTATGCCTAGTGCTTTTCAGAAGACTTGAGAAGCGTGGGATAAGCCTCAACTGTGAAGCAGATGTGCTTCAAGGAACACCCCATCATCCTGGTTTCACCACAGTTCAGACTGGGAGAAGTCTGAGCAGAACATTTCCAGCACCTCTCCCCACCAAGTCTCTATGCCCAGGTTTCCTTCCCATCAAAATGATGGCCAGATAAGGGAAGTTCACCCCAATCAGCATGCAGAGGGGTGTGTATCTAGAAAAACACAGCAAACCCAAATTCCCCTGCATAGACCTTGCTGTAGACCAAAGACCACTGAATTGTTAAGAGATTACTTTTTTGGTTTGCAGGCGTCCAACAGTTTTTGGGTTACATCTCAAATTTTACATAATTCTGAAGATGAAGTGGGATCTGGTTTAAAAGACTGTCTACTTAAAGTTAAGAATTTTTCTGTAGCTCCCTGAAATAAGCTCTTCATCACTATCTATTTTGACTGAAAGATATTTGATAAATACAATCTCTATATAATAGATGCATTACTTTATAAATACTATCTGATTAGGAATGGAATTTTGAACTAGACTGTGATCACATCTGTATAACTGTAGAAGCTGTACAAGAGTGTCGGTAGAGGGGTGACTCACTGACTCAGTGTTAACAAGGCCAGAAGGAACCACAGCGATCACCTACTCTGTCCTTTTCTTTAAACCGTAGAACTGCCTGGAATTACTGTCTCATCTTGTTTTTTCAATTTCTGTGATAAAGAGCTCATTTCAGACACTGGACATTTTTTCTAATGCTTAATTAATTCTTTCTGTTAAACTTTTGCCTTAAGCCTACATTAAACATGTCCAGCTTCCTCTTCTGGCCAGCGGATCCTATCAGCTGCTGGGCTGAAGAGTTCATTATCACAGGCTGTGGACCTGCCTCATCACTATGAATCTGTGTGGCTATGATGGCACTGCTGACTGACCATGGTTACCACCACCTCCTTATCACCATGTCTGGACTCCTTGCTCAGGCAGTGTGGAGCCGTGCTCTTGCTGGTGAGGACACTGTCCTGACAGCCTTGCTGTCACCCTGGCTCCCAGTTCACCTTCCCTGTGGAACAGCCCGCTCTTGCTGCTCCCTGATAGAGCCTGACTGTACTGAGGATAAGTCCCTTAGAAACAATTTTTTTCTCTTCTGGCTGTGAAGGAAGTTACAGCCCAATCTCCTGAGAGATATCCTGGACTGTTTTTTTTTTTTTTCTGAGCAGACCACAGGTGATGCGAGGAACATGAAGTTCATAACAGCTCAAACAGCTGGAAAGCATGCCAGTTGCAAGATTTGATGAGATTAAGCCACTTCTGGGGTTGCCAAAGTATACACATATATAGTCAATAAGCCTTTTCTTCTCTGCTAATGAGCACAGATTTGCACAACTTGCTTTGAGTAAGAGTACTGGAGGATAAGAAGAACATGTTCTAGAAAAAACATTAAGACCATGATGGCCCAATGGTTTCCTAAGAAGAAGTTGAAAAATGCTGGCTGAAATTAAAGCATCTACACACACATCAAAGAAAAAAAAAATTGACTTGAGAAAGAAAGTTAGACACAAGGAGACAATTTAGAGGCAGACAAAGCATTGTGCCTTACATGACATATCCATGGCAGTTTTCTGTCATGGGATCTGATTAATGCCGCACATGAATAGTCACCAGGATCACCCACATCACAGTTCTGACTGAGCTTATTTCTCATGACCACTCAAGTTAAGTAATATAATTAATCACACTGTGGAAAAAGTTGACTTCTGAGAATGTGCATTTCCATTTCAATCGCATAGCAAAACACATTTTTAGCACTTTAGGCAGATGATGTATTTCTAATCGTGCATTCAGCTCAGTAATATCTGTGCCTTGCAGGTATTATATGCCTGCTTTCCTTGCTAAAAAAAAAAAAAGCCACTGGAAAACTTCTTCTCCACATAACCATTATTTTAATGTTAATAAAAGATCACTTATGTAGTTAAAAACTCATTGCCTTGAATCTCTCTTTTTAATCCAGTGCATAAAATGCATTGCATAAAATGAGAGGAACATGGTTACTGTCACTGAGCTGTAATGTAGCATGAGTTCCTTCCCAGTTCCCGCCCAAATATTCTTGAGGAGAATACTGGGATATTAGGGCTTGGTATAACGGGGCCTGAGCGTGCCATGTGGCTCCTTCATGCTTTCTTTAAGAGCCAGACTCTAAATGCGTGTCAGCTAACACAACAGGACTAGCTTAGGAACACTGTAATTATCTGCTGGTACAGATCAATAGGAGATTATTATCCACAATTCACAAGATGAGAGAAAGTGTGTAGTCAGGCCATGCTGAAACATACAGTTTATGAAGTAAGTTAGTCAAGATCCTCTCCTGAAGGCAAATCCTGTAGCAGAAAATTGATTTCTTTTAAGTTTTACATGACTGTGCTTTCACTACTGAAGGATACACCAAGGCCAATATTTTCAACAAAGTGGTGGATAACAAAAAGTCTACCTAAACACAGATATCTTCTGAGCCATCACTTTTTCTACAGATACTGACATTAGATTATACGATTCAGTTTTATGTATTGGAGATGAGTAACATGCAGGTTGTGAGTCAATGCCCCGGAGAGCATCAGCAAGACCATCAAAAAGAATCCCCTTTCTTCTGAAAAAGTGCAATCAGATAGCTGATCTTAACCCACTAGTTCACATCAGGAGCGTGCTCTTAGAGTGAATACCCTGCTCAAAGTCACCTACCTGGCCTGGTTTGCAGCGTGGTGCAGCCTTAGAGTGCACAAACTGGATGCCTTTCAGATGAAGTCAACCATGAAGTGGCACTTCAGGAGTCCACCAAATGCTTCCAGCCACTAACAGGCACTCTGCCCAGACAAAACCCTCCCAAAATGCATTCTGTAGGGGTGTAGGATCCCCTGCATCAGTTATTTTCCTTGACAGAGCTATTTCTATTGGACCATATTGCATGCTAAAGCAGACATAACCTTCATTAGTGCATTCAAGATTTAAGTAAGAGAAGGATCAAGTTTTATGCAAGTTATTAAAAAAATCATTCAAGATTAAAAGACCATTGGAAAAGAAAGGAATGTCCCTTTTTTGGAAAAAAAAAATCTTATTTATAACAGTGAACTGATAGCTATAGAATACAATCAGTAATATTTCAAGGACAAAATTATCATCTTCAAAATTTTTACACAGTTCAGTTCACCCTCGCCAATGTCTTTAGGCTCTGCAAACTTCTAGTGAAATCAAGTGAGCTGTGTATGTGAATACATATTTAAATGTGTAGTTAGGAATGCTTAATCTTACAGATATTAATCAGACGCTAAGTTCCTGAACTATGTACTGAACAGAAAGATTTTTCTGATCAAGCTGTCAACTGGATGTCAGAGTGATTAGGCATGTCTTTAAACATGTAAGACACTTAGCTCATTGCTCATCACAGAAAGTTTTTGTTAAACTTAGTAGGCTATTCTTTTGTGCAAAACTTATTTGGGGGAAAAAAAAAAGTAGGCATTGGTGGCTACTTTGAACAGACGCAAATGAACAGAATGCAAAATTTAAATTTTCGATGGACTTCCAAAGTTGCATTATCTAAACAGGGACTGTACAACCCAGCCTTTGTTAGCTGTGGTTTTGGTAGTAAATAAATACACTAAAGACTGTTCTTTGGATCGATCATCCTACCCTACAGAAAAGGATTGCTACCCCAAACTATGTACTGGGAGCAGACCCCTGACCCATGCTGACCGCTGAAGTGCTCAGGGAAGTTGTTAGGGAGAATGGCAGGTAACAGAGGCCGGTGCAATGGCCAGGACTGTTCTCACAGTTTAACAATACACCTGGTCAAATTTGCGTATCTTGGGATGTTAAATTTACTAGTATAAGCATAGCCATGGATTAATCATTAACTGACCAAGACCTACTGACTGGTAGGTCCTAGAATAGCAGTGCTCCAGACACTTCCCAGTAACAAAACAGACTTTGAGATGTTGCCATAAATAGCAATTCCTTTAGGACACCTCCTTTTTTTTTTTTTTTCTTTTTAACAGTAAATTTATTTGCAGAAATTCAGATTAGTGAAGGTTTTGATCTTCAGTGGAAAGTGGTTGACCCTGAAAAACGGTTGGAATTATAATCCTGAGCAGTTAGTTCCCAGAGCTTACATTCTGCAATATCCTACACACAAATGTCAGAATACGTACATAAAATTGAACAGTCTCAAATATATGATGCAATTCCCATGTCTTTGAGCAAACACTAACCTTCTGTTCCATAAGTAATGTGTTTGTAGGGATTGCTGCAAATGCCTTGTAGCTTGTCTTGATCTTGTACTGCTAAAAGGGTAAACCAGAAGGCAGGAAGAGAAGTAAAACAGGGCAGAAGAGGGAGAGGGAGAGAGAGGGGAGAGAGGGAAAGGTATGACAGAATGAAAGACCGTTCCAATTGTCTTGTAGACACGTTGCAACAACACAATGCTTACATATTACCTAGGAAAGCTGTTTCTTAAAGACAATCTAGTGTGTCTGTTAAGATTTTAAAGGACTGTAACATACATCTTTTGGTTTTAGGAACGAAGTAGGATGAAGTGAATTCCCTGTACCAGCTTATAACTTCCAAAGTGATTTTGACCGCTCTCTGTTGACTGCTATCCTTAAATGAATATCAGGAGAGGCTGTGAGTCTTTTCCAAGCTTGCTTGTCATTTGATCTGATAATGCACAGCTACTTCTGCCAATACATACATCTCCACAACTGCTGCTGTGTGGTGTGATCCTGGGCCACTAAGTCAAAGGGATTTCTGTAATTGGCTTTAATGAGACTAATAAGGATCCTTAAATGCTGAATTACTTGTGTGAGTGGATAGATCATTTAACTCATGTCACAGCTTTTCATCTCCTGAATAAGTAACTCTACCGCTCAAACAATATTTCAAAACAGGTATAGGAACTTCCACAGTCTAACCGAGCATGCAGAACTGACAGTCTAAACCCTATAAAATGCATGTGTTTGAGTAGAAAAATTCCAAGATCAGCCATCAAAATTATTATTTTTAAACAATTTATATTTTAGACTATATTAGCTTGCCCAGTTACTTTTAACTCTTTAGAAACCATACTTTCTACATTTTCTTTGCAATTATGGAGGTTGACTTCAGTAATTTTTAAATGATTGATGAGGTTCTTCTACACTTGCATGATTTCAAGAGCTAGGATTCTTAATCACATGACTGCTGGATTTTTTTTTTTACAATTAAATAGGAATTCGCTACATAGTTCCCTTTTCAGCAATATTCTAATAAAAAATCATAAATTCACAAAATAATAGAGTTTTAAGTTATTGATTGATTATTTCTGTGATAGTAATTCAGAAATAAAGTTACTTGTTAATCAGTTCAGTTTTTTTAATCTACTGCTGTCTGCAACAGTGCATAGCAGTGATTATGAGATAACAGGCTGAGCAGCATGATGTACTTCGGGCCGTTCTTTTGTCACTTTTTTCTCTTCTTTATATCTATGCAAAGTCTTGATGGCAGAAAAGGGGCCAAAATTTTAATTCAGATAAGAGAAACTTATGTCATCCTTGCACTTCTCTTGAAATATTGTAGGACACCACCTTTTAATTCTTTCCATACATAATACTACTTGCTTTTGAATTTACTCATATTTCTTAGACAGAAGTTGGAGACTGACAGACATTCAAGAAGTCAATAATCAAAATAAACATATTGAATGAACAGTCTGACAAAGCAGATGAATGCAAATGCTGCAAATGCACTTTTGGGGGGGGGAGGGGAATAGTAATTTATATGAGATCTAGTGATTCTAACTTGGATGCCTACCATTTAGGTGCTTCAGTCAAAACTAATGCCTTTTATTGTCATACGTATTTCTACAGGATAATTCATCTCATCCTAAAATAGGCACCTAGAAAGGTAAAATAAAATCTTCCTGTAAATGCACCATACTCTCTTCATTAGCTATAATAGAATTGCCCAAGTTGTGCTTGAATGTCTAACTTTCAAATGTCAAATGTCGTGTGAGTTGAATCCTGCCCTTTGAATATTTAGACAGCAACACTCTGCTATAAACATATGTAGGCTCATATATATATTTATATACATATAAAATCTATATGCAGATAAGACATAAAATAGCATGCGCTAAAGTAAGATGGAAGACCAATATTCCAAATATTAAAATTGTCATATTCACAAAATGTATCCTTGTTTCCTTATAATTTATATTCAATCAAGAAAATTGTATAATTGGAAATGTAAATTAAATGCAATGTCTTCACCAGCCCATGGCCTTTTACATATGATCAGATTGGCATCTTATATGATGAGAATACTGTGACCATTTTGAAGTTAGTTGTACTGTTATATGAACTAAACAAAGACATATCAGACTGTTAAGATGTAAAAGTTTTTGTACTACTTTAATGTGCTGTATTACTTCCAGATACTGTAGAACCTGTGAGCAATGTGCTGTCGTCACAGTGTCTGAGATGAGCGGAAAGTCTTTGATTCAATTTCTCATCTAGATGAGTATGCTCCTTGACACACTAGTTCACATTACTTAAAATTATTCTTCGACACCTAAGTACATTTAATAATCTGGTTCATAGGAATCTAGCAGTATTTTTAAACAGCCATGGACAATTAGGTCTGCTGGCCTGCACCATGGTCCAGTCAGAAACAAACCAACTCCAGCATCAAAGCTTGAGCAAATGTCAGCCTGGGGAGTTTTGGGGAAAATGTCCTACTTTTCTTGCTGAAATGATCACTTAGGGCATCCACAGGACATTGCAAAGTGTGCTAGACATATACCTATAAAGGCTTAAAATCAGTGACTAACCATGAGAGCGGAGAGCTCCCCATGAGTAATCTTTCCTGCTTTGTGGTTGGTTTTGCAGCTGTGCTGAGCTACAGTTAGTTTGTTCCCCAGCTGTTTTGGGTAGATCTACATGCATTCCTGTGGTACATTCAGATAGAAAAAAACCAAAGTGTATGTAGGAAGGGTACCCCATGAAACCACTGCAAAGAGTTTTCAAACAGCAGCCGGGAAGTTTTATTCTAATCTGCTTCTGCAGAATCAGCAATTTTAGCTGCCTCCATTCCATCCTACTGTTCATTTTGCTGTATTTGGGCCATGAGGACACCATTAAACTGTCTGCAAATTCCATGGAGAGGGGTTTTATTTCCTGTGGTCACCCACAGTTCACACTTGACATTGATCTGTGGATTTATGTTTATATTCACTTTGCAAAAATAATATTTTTTAATCATTTGTGAACATAAATATGTAAAGCATGGGAAAGTACATGTGTTTGTATATACAAATTCAAACAGATAAATAAGTTCATAGGTTATTCTTTGATTTGCATGAATTGGTGCATGCATAGGCATAGATGTATAAAAGGTCTCCATTACAGAATTCTTTTTGCATAATTGCTTTGATATCATGCTAATGAAACAGTTTGATGTGAATACTGAAAAGTACATCTAATGTATTTAAATTAAAATTCTGGTTTAATAGGTGTTGGTTTAATATGTGTCTTAACATTGTTTCAACCACCGTTGAAGCAACATTAAGGTTGCAAAATTACACATGCCAAAGTCAAGCACTTCTAGATGCGGTGCTTTTCCCTTGATACTGACTTAGCACATTCATACATGCAAAAATTTTGTCATGCATCAACAGTCATCAGATGGAGCAACCTGCTTTTTGTCTAGTTCTAAAGTTGAGCTGATTGGTACTAAAGAGACACAAATGCTGCTTAAGATGTTAATGTTGTCTCTCTTCAATCTTTTCCTTTTTTCTCTGGAAAAATACTGAGATTTGAGGCTGGAGTGTTATCAGAGAGCCTGGTACCATTAACACATCAGCAGAGTTCATTGAGCTATGCTTTAAACTAGGTATAGAAATAAATGAGAGCAGGAGGAAAGGGGGGTGTGGAATGTACACTATTATTAACTGTGAATGAAGTCTCAGCCTCACATTTTAAAGCCACAAGAGACCTTTCTTGCACTGAACACCCAGCTGCATTTGATTTAGAGATTTCAGGTCTTCCACACACCTAGTGGAGCCAGCTTTGTCTGCACGATTAAAAATTGGACCAGACTAACAGTCCAAGTCTGTTAAACTGGTGGTCACTCTCCCAGTCCCAATGGGGTGGTGGGGCAGTTTCAAAAGTGCCACCATATCGCATGGTAAAGCAGAAATAGCAGGAAAAGGGACAGTAAGGAGGACAGAAAGGGTATAATAACCTCTGCAAATATAAACCCAGGCAATAGCTCTGCGTCACAAGCAGAGAATTTCCTTACCACCAGAGACTCTCACAGTGCTCATTGCACTGACGAGCAGAAACTGCAACAGCTTTGCAATCTGCAGGCTCAGTCATGCCTTCCAGGTCTGTCTCAGGGACTTTTTTCCTGGAATTTCTACAATTTCATTTCTCTTTCTGTTTCATTAAGTAATACTGACAGGGTGTAGCGACACTGTACAGCTGTGCTTGGCACAATGGTTCCTCTTGGGTTGTTCGGTTTTTAAAAGAACCATTAATGACAATTGCTACTTTGTGCTGATTTAAACCTCTCATTTTCAATTAACATTTTCCAAGCAGTTCAAGTCACCCCTGCCATGGCCAAGCTGTTACGAACACATCTGACACAACTTGATCTGGCAGACCATGCTATAATTTTGTGCTGTGAACAAATAAAATGACAAACTATGATAGCTTTTCTGTGATGGGCAGAGCTCAGTTAACAGCAAGAGGAGGCACAAAGGAAGCACAGAGTGGAAAGATAAGATAAAAGAGGCTGGAAAGCCTCCGGCAGCTCTGATGTCTTCTGCCACCAGCTCTTCCCCTTTGCATAGAAGTTCCTTTTGTTTTCACCTACTTGCTGCATGGTTTTTGATCACCTTTCCTTTCCTTCCCCTTTCCATCCTTGGGAATTATCTTTAGGTTTAAAGTGTGAGTGGTACCCAAGCCCTCCTGCAGCAACTGCCATCATTGCTTATTCTCACTCTGCTGGGACTCTTCTGCCTTTGGGTGGATGACAAACAGCAGGGGAGCGTGGCTGATCCGTCGAGTGTGAGACTTTCGCATTTGCAGTAGCCCATGCTGCAGGAAGCGTGGCTTTTTTTCCCCTCGCCCTCTGTCTAGCACAACAAGATGAGAGAAGTAGAAAAGAAAGGGAAGAAGCAGGAAACTGTCCTTGTCTTCCCTCTCTGGCTCTTGGCCCCACAGTCCTTGCCCAGGCTGAGCTCAACCGTGCCTCTGGGCTGGTCCCAGGGAGGCACAGAATGGCTGGGGTGAGTACAGCCTCCTGGGGAGCGGGGAGGGCAGGCGGGATGGGGTGCTTGGGAAACAGTGGTCACTGGAACAGCCGGTTCACATCAGTCAGATTAATCCACTTCTAGCTCAGCCCTGCACCTAAGATCACCATACTTCTATTACTTGCAGTGGGAATAAATGTGGATTTACGTTAGCATGGGGTGTATAGAGCATGTTTTATGGTTTATTTTTGACACACCAGTGTTTTAAGTGAGCTTCAAAAATAAGTGAACCAAAGGTATACCAGAGCCACTGGATACACATCCATCTTCAGTGGTATGTCCTCCCACTCATGAATAAAATATTTTATTTTTATGCTAAAGGATTCCCGCAGTATCTTCCCCTATAACACAGAACGCATACTGACATGCTAAGATTTAGTCTTTGCTATCTTTGTTATCGGTACAAAACCAGTTCCTTTTTAAACATTTTTTCTACAGCTCATTTATTTTACTAGCATTGTGCAACACAGATGTGATTTTTCCTACAGGGACAAAGAACTAATAGAAAATAAGCATGCACCAAGAGTACCTTGGGTTTGATGTTCTCATGGTCAGGAGGCAGGGAAAAAGATTGTGGTGAAGTCAGCTCTCTGGGTCTTGAAGGCAGTGTGCCTGGTGACTTGTCTGAGACGGGAGATCTGCACTTTAGCACCAGTGAGGTGGCAGATTGCTCAGGTCTTGTAGAGGAGGAATTAGACCTATAATTTGTGCGCACCAATGAAGAATTAAGCTGCAGTGGATGGGAATTAACATTACTGGTTTGTGGAAATGGTGGAGTAGAATAAGGCCTTGAGGGAGACCACTGCTTTGAGATAGTTGGAGGGGTAGGAGAGGAGACGCTCATCTCCTGAACAGATGTTTGGGATGAATCTGATTTAGAACTGGAAGCTGAATGCAAAAGACTTGGGGAAGGAGATGAGTGTTTTTCTAGCATGGGGGAGAATACGCCGCTAAGACTGGTAGAAGAAAGCAAAGGATATGATCGGCAGGTAAAGATGGGTGAGTAAGTGTGTACTCTCTGAGACTTCTGAGGTGCTCGGGACCTGGAGGCAGCATACGGCAGCCCTTCTGGAGAAGGAGAGATAGGGTGTGCAAGAGAAGAGGGTGCAGGGGCACAAGGAGGAGGCAGTGTAGACTGAAAACCTGGAGAGATAACTGATTTTCTATGGGAGGAGACGGGGGATGACAGAGGACTTTGGGAGTCTGGAGAAAGCATTCCAACTGGAAGGTGCTTGTTAGGAGAAAGGGACCTCGCCCTAGGGGTGGGATGAGGCTTGGAGGGTAAAGGCTGATGCTGAGCCCACCCTGAAAGCCAATATTCCTCTCTTCTGGGAGAATCTGGCCTTATAGGAGGGCTTGAAACAGATTTCTTGGGGGTTGGGGGAGTTGTTTTGGACTTTTGATCTATTGCAAGTGTTGATGAACCAAGGGAGCTAGGAGAAAACGTGGGACAAGAAGCAGGGGAAAGCGGTCTCCGCTGAGAAGAGCCTGATCTCAAAATAGCAGTTAAGAGGGTCAGTCTGGTTGGCAGAGGGGATCTGACTCCTGACTTTGCTAAATTCCCTCTAGATGACATTTGTGTGCAAGGCTCATTTATACTACATATGGTTGAAGAGGAGCCAAAAAGAGAGGGTGGGTACAAAGGTTTAGGGCTAGGAGACAATGAATGTGTTCTTATATGTACAGGGACAGGAGATAAGGCATTTAATCTTTTGGAAGAACTGGGGGATAAAGGCTGAGCTGAAGATCCTTGAATTTCAGCTGAATATGGAGAATCGGGGGAAAGACTTGGGCTCTTTGCTGGCATGGAGGATGTGGTAAAGTCTCCCAATTTGCAAACACAGACAGGGGTATAGAGACTTGGGTTTTGCAGGTTCTCATACAATCGAGGAGTGGAGTAACAACTATTCGATGCAGAAGAAGATAATTTAGACATGGAGGGGGGTGACCTATGGGAAGCAGACTGAAAGTAGAGAGATGAATCTTGCTTAGAAAACCCAGTTGCTGACTGCCAGTTGTTACGGGAGTCTTCCAGCGAAGAGGCTTGGTTCAGGTTAACCATGGCACCACATACTACTTTCTGATTAGTTGGAGAAATTAAGCGGACAGCAGGTGGTTTAGAGGAAAGATGATCAGAGGTGGAAAGAGTAGAAATTAACTGGAGAAAAAAGAAAAACAGAAATGTTAATATAGGTGGAACCTGTGGAACTGATAAGCACCCCACATTTCAGCCCTGTAGTCATGCATATAGTGTTCCCATTAGTACTGCTCTGTGGGTTAAAAGCAGAGGGCTGTCTCAAACTCGGGGATACAGCCTGACAGATATGGCTCTCAGGGGAGGTGACTGAGTGCAGACAAGTTATGTGTTACTTTATTTTTATGAGACCTCAGTTTTGTTGACATAAACAAGGTTCAAGGCTACTGTATTTTTCATTTTAGGTAAAACCCAAGACAGCTGTGCCATCAATGTCCAGAATCATGTGATGTTATTCACGTTGTACAAACACAACGGAATGTGAGAAAATTGCAATATTGTTCGATCTCACTTTACCAGTTCAGTGGAAAGTAGCCCTTCTGTAAATGAGATTCAAGTCAAGGACTCATTTTCACATTCAGTAAACAACACCTTCTGCAGCACTGTGATATCAGAACAAGAAATTTGCTCAGAACTACTTAAATCAGACATCCAGTTTGTTTTTCACTTTTCTTGTCATTCACAGAGCAGTGCGTTTGACAGTTTGCAGGCATATGAGAGTCCTTATCCCCTTCTCCAGTGTCTTACAATACAGTAATAAAACAGTAATGAGCTCTTTCATGAAAGCCTTTTTTCTTAGGTCTATTCTAATTAGGATTTGTCAAAAGTAATTAGAGCATACAAGTATATTATCAACTTTTTATCCAGTTTTATGCTTCTAAAGAAAGAAATTCGCTCAAAATCTTCCAAGTTATTATAATGCTGAAATTAAAAACTGGGATATACACAGTATGAATAAAACATATCTGTATGAAATAGTGAGCTAAGTCAACTGTAAAACCAAAAGGCTACAAATTATCACCTAACTTTTGACTGAGCAATTTGAAAGCAGGGAAATTGACTCTAATCCCTACAAACTTCATATATTTATAAGAACACCTATTTATCTATTGGCTGATACCCTGAAAAGATAAAGCAATTCCATAAAAGACAATTATCACATCCAGTTTCTACATACACAACTTGTGCATGGCTTCAGCTCAGCTTATGAATTCTATTTTTCAATACAAATATCTTGCCCATAAGAGAGAGGAATTATTATATCGTATAATATTGATACATCACAAAACAAAAAAAAGTACAAAACATATAATTTTCATGTGAAAGCACGTGCTGGAAGAAGCTGTGACAGGAGAGCAAGACGTACAGGCTTTAAAAGGTTAAACTGTACTTAAAATGCTAAATATGGGCTAAATACGCACAGCAGAACCCTATTAGCCCCTATAACTTAAAACATGAGAGCACCTCCTGCTAAATGACACCAGACAAATAGTAAGCCTTGTAAACTGAAGATATTTTCTGGATCAGATACTTTCAGAAAAGCCTTGATTTATAGAAAAAACCACCACCCATCAGAATGCCTTTACAACCACACTAACCTCACTTTATTTTATATGTGTGTTAAGGTGTCCCATTTCAAAATGGAAAGCCAATGGACATATACAGTGCAAACACTAGAGTATATTTTTGGGGGAAGAAAGGATCGAGAGCAGCCCTGCCGAGAGGGACCTGGGGGTGGCCAGCAGGTCGAGGGAGGTGATTCTGCCCCTCTACTCAGCTCTGGTGAGACCTCACCTGGAGTACTGCGTCCAGCTCTGGAGCCCTCAGCACAAGAAGGACATGGAACTGTTGGAACGGGTCCAGAGGAGGGCTACAAAAATGATCCGAGGGCTGGAGCACCTCTCCTATGAGGACAGGCTGAGAGAGTTGGGCTTGTTCAGTCTGGAGAAAAGGAGGCTACGGGGAGACCTGATTGCGGCCTTCCAGTACCTAAAGGGGGCCTATAGGAAAGATGGGGAACGTCTTTTTAGTAGGGCCAGCTGTGTTAGGACAAGGGGAAATGGTTTTAAACTAGAACAGGGTAGGTTCAGGCTAGAGGTAAGGAAGAAATTTTTTACAATGAGGGTGGTAAAACACTGGAACAGGTTGCCCAGAGAGGTAGTGGAGGCCCCATCCCTGGAAACATTCAAGGCCAGGTTGGATGGGGCTCTGAGCAATCTGATCTAGTTAGCAGTGTCCCTGCTCACTGCAGGGGGGTTGGACTAGATGACCACTAGTGGTCCCTTCCAACCCTAAACATTCTATGATTCTATGATTCTATGATTCTATAAAAATGAATGTCCATGATACCATTATACCATATATTCTATTGGATTAAAAAATGTTTGCTATTGTTGAAAAAGCTGTTAATTAAGAATGAGAAAATATATTGGAAATTGAGAATAATTTACCAATATGAAACTCCATAATGAAATAGCAGGATACGCAATGACTTCTAACTAGTTAAAACTTAATAAGAAACATTTATAAGCAGCTAGGAAAATGTTCATGGTAACAGATGATAAATATGCTCCTGCAAGAATGATAAAGACATTTTGCCATAGTTGTCTTCCAGTTTGAACACCGCTGAACGTGCTGAGCTCATTGAGCCACTATTCAAGTCTTCTGAAAAGATTTTGTTATTGTATTACAGTGTTAACTACATCTATAGATTACCACCCTCTAATCTACAACATCAGAGAATCATATCAAAGTTGGTTGGAAGTGACTCCTTGAGGTCATCTAGTCCAGCCTGCTACTCAAAGCAGGGCTCTCACCAACACCAGTGGGTCAGGTCAACTGTGGCTGTGTCTCACCAAGTCTCTAAAGCCCCTGGGCTGCCTGCGTCAGTGCTGCACCAGCTGCCAGTGAGGAAGCTTCACCAGATGTCGAGCTGGGACCTCCCATGCTTCAATCTGAAGCCATTGCTCTCTCACCTGCCACTGCAGAGAAGAGTTTGTCTCTGTTGTCTCTGTAACTGGCCTTCAAGTAGTTGTGGGCTATTTCTAGATACCTCCTTGACTGCTTCTTTGCTGGAGACAACAAAGCCAGCTCCCTCAGCCTCAGCTCACACGTGCCCTGCCCACCTTTATAGCTCTGTGCTGGATCCCCATTCCCTTCTTCACATCTCTCTTGAATTTGGGGGTGAGAGGCCACAAAACTGAGCATGGTTTTACAGGTACATCCTCACCAGTGCCAGTAGATGAGACATAATAACTTCCATTGATCAATGGCATTTGTTTTGCAGTTTTTTTCTGTTCTGTTTCTCTACTGATTTAAAAAGCTTCTGTAGTTGTGCTGGATTACTGCAGAGGAAGTGAGTGACAGAAGTAGATTTGTGTTCCTTTGGTCTGTGATTTCACTGTAAGCCTTTTTCTTTTCTCAGGAATGGCTCAGATACACATTTCCCAAAAGCATATAAAGGAAGTTGGAAGAGGTGGCAAGGTTACCTTGGCACAAAGGGATCAAGGTACTTGAAAAAGATCTTGTTGCCTCATAGATGATGATCCCAGAAATATCAAAGCATTCATAACCTTAGTATTGAGCCTTGCCCAGGAGACCTTCAGCACGTTTGAAATGGCAGAGATGAGCTGGACACAAGAAAAGTGGTCTTTCTGGTAAGATCACATTGTTTTGGAAGGGCACAAAAAAAGTGATTACTTATACCAGCAAGGCCCTGAGAGTGGTGCTGGTCAAAGGGAATTTTTGACAAATGGAGAGCCCAAAATGTAGAAATCATATCTGAGAGGGGATGTGGCTTGATGTAGACCTGGTCTTGGAGCTAGTTAACCATGCTTTGATTTCAGTAGAATTTTATAATGGATAGGAAAAATGAAGTAAATTCCCTACCACAGCCTGCAACTGGAAAGCCAGAAAGCACTGGAGACTGTGGAAAACTTGACAAAGTCTCTGGAAAAAGCACAGTAAATCAGCCTGTGAGCTGAGACCTAATTAATATAGATGCCATTCAGAACAGTCTGGTTTCTCCCAGCAAGGAAGGTGCATTCTTCCTAGCAATGGCAGGATTTTGTAGCGACTCTTGACTGAGTTGTCTGGAAAAGATGACATGCACTGGATAGAGGAATGCCAAGTGACTTGGACTAGCTAAAAAAGACTTCTGGCTCACTGCAGGGGGGGTTGGGCTAGATGACCTCTAGGAGACCCTTCCAACCCAAACCATTCTGTGATTCTGTGATTCTGTAATTCTATTGATCCCCCACAGTGAGTCAAAAAGTTTCTCCAAGCTGAGTTAATGTCCTGGCATGCAGGGGAGCAGACATATCCCCCTTCACCCCAAAGCGTGCGCTCCCAAGGGCAGGAGTCAGTCTGCCTCTCTCTTGCATTACTAGGCTCTCTTTAACATAAAAATCCCCCACAATATATAAACAGTAAAGTACCACCAAAGAATTCCAAATATGACCAGAAGACCAGAATAACTGATATTTTTCTTTTAACTTGATTATTTTTTTCAGACTTTGAATATGACATAGCATTGTCCACCATCAGTCAGGACCCCAAAGAACAACAGAAGTTTCCATTTTTTCAATGATGTGTTTCATTTTTTTTTCTTTCATTTAAACAAAGTCAGAAATTGATGAAGCTGTAGGAGCCCTCTGGTTCAGTTACCGTGATCCTCTATACAACACAATAGTCCCCAATGCTGGTTCTTGTTTTTCTCATCTCTGATAGGAAACCATAGTCTAATTATGACTTTAAATGAACATAACGTGATATGTAGTATCTCTTAAGTGGGACACGATACTGCCATTATAACCCTAGATCTGACAAGGTAGCCCCTATATGGAATCCTTTGTACATAGAAAATCTACCAACAGATAAATAATGCATCTGTTTAATCCTTTTGTAGTTTTCCTTCATTTCTGAACTGATGATACTTCATTAGGTAGTAAGCCAGAAAGACTGATGCCCAAGGAAACACTGAAGAAAAATGAGAACATCAGTGAAAAGCAGCTTAGTAAAAAACATCTTCTTCTTATGAAGAGAGAGCGACATCTTTTGATATTTAGAAGATTAAGACTGAGGAAGTACTTACGGTCTCAAAAAAACTGTGATTTAAGAATAATGATGAAATATGCATTACTACATGCTATCTCTCTTCACATTCAGGTGAATAGCCAGCAAAGTTAGGCTTTAATTCCTTCTTCTGTGCAATCTGTATTTTCTGTTACTTTACCAGGCACATCTCTGTTTACTTGTCAAGTCATCAAAAGCTTAGGAAAGCTACAGCACATGAATTTTTCCACATAGTCTTACAAAAAATCCACTCAATTTTTGTAATAGCTTTTAAAGAAACCACCCAAGCAAGCCCGGCAGAATCTGCTACTGAACATTGCCAAAGTAAATTTGTATTTCCCTAGGACAATTATTCTTTTCCAAGCCGCTTCCCCTACATAGATTGTTCTATGCCTTTACACCTTCCTCAGGTAAAATTCTCACTGACTTCACTGGGAGTTTCTCAGAATAAATGAATATTTCATAACGCTGTAAATCCCAAACCAGTTTGGATTTCTTATTCACAATTTCCTCAATCAAAAATTGACACTGAATTTGATGAAAAATTGAGTAGCACAAGTATTTCAACATGAGATAGGAAGTTCTATTCATTTTCAGAGACAAAGTAGCCATGCTCAATTTATTTTAAAATTATTGGTGAAGAATGGCATTTTCAACTGATGGAAACCTCGTTGAGGTCAAAGAAAATGTCTGAATTTATTCTATGTGAGAAGGATGTTGCTATTTTACTAAAGGTAGAGTTTTCCACTGCATATACATCCTTGAGAACTATCAGTGCTCTTTCCAAGATGAGAGATATTAACTTTTCACGTACTAAATTGGATTGATGTGTTTTGAAAATGAAACATTTCAAAGACCCTCTTTTTTTAATTCTCCCACTGGCAATATCAAATTTCAATAAATCAATAAATGTGCCCTACAAAGATCACCATAAAATGGACCTTTCAATTTCATTAGTTTGTTTCACCTGTGCAAAGTCAGTGCTAAGTAGCAGTCAGAATAATAGGATTTTTACAGCCTCTTTCTCTAGCATGAAGGGCTGCAGCAGGTGCTGAGGAAAAAATAGGCTTGGGAAGTCTGATGCTAATAATTCAAATGATCTATGGGCTCCATTGATTTCAACAACCTTAGCCAATCTAGACTAGCTAGGTATCTAACACCTTCTGATTAACTTGCTGTCATGATGACCTGCTCCTAAAGGAAGAGCAATAGATCTGCATTACCTGCTCCATTTATACATGAGAGCCATAGGCAGAAGCAGTAAGTCAGAAGGGTTGGGACAACTCCTTCAAGACCAAATGTTACGGGAGTGGTGGCCAACAAAAATGCTGATTAAAGAACAAATTGGCCAAGCTGCTTTACAAACTGACGCAGTGTCCATGTCCTGAAAGGTTTAGAAATTGAGAAGGTTAGCTAGAGAGCAGGTTACCTGATGTTTTTGCGGATCAGCAGTGCTATGGGAAAGTGCAGCACCTGGAACGTGCCCATCGCCAGGAGGTTTCCCTGCCCCCATGCCAGGGGAAACGTGGGACGTGGCCAGCAGCTGAGCACTGATGGGACCATAGCCATTGGAAGGCAGATGAACGTTGTTCGAGGCAGCAGCTACTTCATCTTCATCACCGGAGTCCGTAATCAGGATAAACTCAGCCTTAAAAAGGTCATTCTCCTGCATTTCTCCTTTGCTTGAGTTACACCCTAGGGACTGGAAAGCCGTTCGGTTGCTGTCTGTACAGATGGCAGACACACAGTCTTGCCTGGCCCCGCTCTTTAAGGCCAACTCATCAGAGATTGCGTTAGGCTGCAAAAGATACAAGGAAAAATACGCCAATTAGCTGCGTTTTATTTGTGTTCCCCAAAATGAGAAGTAATTTTGGCGCTGCACTACAGGAAGTGCAGAGGGAGAATGAAGAATTTGGGCATGAACACCCAGCAGAAACCAGTTCCCCAGGGAGCCCCCCGCTTCCAGCCCCCCAGCTGATGCTGGGGGAGCTTCCTTCCCAGCAACTCGCAGAGCAACAGGGCACTCCAAGCACAGCGATGGCCCGAGCCTGCGGCTGGCGCGGGAACCGAAAAGGAGGGTGCAGTCAAGCCGAATGAGCTGTCAGACCAGACTACGCCAGACACGATGGGAAGGCATCCCGAGCGCAGGATCCACGGGAGCAGACAATGCTCCTCAGAGGAGTCTGACAGACGAATCTGGGACAAAACCTATACATATTAATGAAGAAACAAAGGCCTTTAAGCCAGGGGATTCTCTGAAAAGAGCAGACAAAGAATCTGAGGTCAGAGAGCTTTACTGTATGTACAAGCTTCTCAGCACAGACCACAGTTGTTCTTCATATTTTCTGCAATTTCCACCTCCAGTATGTAACTTCTCAAGCACACTTGGGATGAGAGCAGGAGTAGTGCAAGCTGGGCATATGACATGCACATAACCAAATCATTCAATGTTGAAACTGCTATGGTAAATCATATTTCTCTTGAAGGAGGAATCAGGTAAAAGAATAGAAATATTGTGTACTGCAAGTGAAAGCCTGTAGATGGGGCTCATATTTGAATCCTGCTTGAGGAATACAGTAATGACAAATTTCTACTGGCAGTTCCATGAGTCCCTGGAGCTCAGTTCTTCAAAAAAATATTGGATTGTGAAGGGGGATACCACCAGTATGACTTCAGAGGTGTTAGTTTCATTACCTGGTGTTGGTTGGGGTTTTTTAATATTGTTCAGGTTCTAGGCATTTTAGAAAAGGGAATGATCAGTGCTATGAAGGCCTCAGCACTGCGTCACCTGCCAGGAAAGTTTTCTCTGCCTGCAGAGAAACACGGGGAGACAGAGGTCAAGAATACTTGATTCTGCCTTACTCATAGCACTACTTAGAGCAAACCCAATACTGAGTGGCTGGAAATGTAACTCATGAGCTAAACGTCCTGAGGGTAATATTCCAGTGCATGTCTCTTCAAACATGTCCATTCTCTGCCCAGACCAACCCCTTTTTAGTCAGATAGGCCACTGAAAATGCTGGATCATGTTAAGATCAGAGGACTGTGACCTCCTGTGAAAAGTTTATTAGCACCAAGAACTGCAGCCCCAGCAATGTCCCAGGGAAGGAGCTGTTACACAAGAGCAGAATCACCATAAGCATTAGTATTAATCTGAGGGTTCCGGTTTCCTCTCAAGCATGGAATAAAATAAGAGGCTGTTAAGTGTTGTGAGGCAGGAAAGGAATAACAAACGCTATAGGAAAGGAATAACAAACGCTATGGGCTGGCTAAAGGCAGGAGAACAAGGAATGTTGTGCTGCTGGCTTCACCCTCAGAGGAAATCGTGGGGACAAGCTTTCAAAACCAAAAAGCCAGCTTTCACTCTGATGCATTAGTATGCATCTATGAAAGGGGTTGGCACCTTTGCTGGAAGCCACAGCACTGGCGTTTGCTGAAACCAGGATCCAGTGACCAACTCTTGATCAACTCCCATGTGATAACACTACTCACACACCACCCTTGTTCCCATGAAGATCAGGAAGGAATCCCCCCTTGTCTGCCAAGAATATAGCCCTTGCATGACTGACAGAGGACAGTATTGAGACGGGCAAGGATTTGCTTTCACTATAAACTCTGCCAAAGGCAAAACAGTCTGTTGAGCAGATATCAGCCTTCTCTTGCACAATGATTCTGCACCTCTGGTAGGCTTGGTAATTAAAATGAAGCATAAGCCAAGAAACAGTTCAAGGGAAAGAACTTCAGTTCAGCGATGTTCAGGATAAAATGTTCTGTATCTTTTGAAAGAGTGGAAAAAATAGTGCAAACAAAAATCTACCTTATTAATTTCTTGATTGCTCAGATCCTTTGGTTCATCTGGAATTGTCACAAGGAACTTAGAGACATCTACAACATCAAAATGAGTTGGAAGTCTTCCAATGGATGGTATGAACGTGAAGGTCAGTGGTTTGGTTCCAGATTCTTGAGAAGTGGTCTGCAAAACACAAAATTAGTTCAACTTTTTTGTCCAAATAGAAATTATTTTTGTCAGAGTTGAAATAACATTAATTATTCTATCTACATAATTTGCAAGTCTATTATTAACTATCCTGGTCGTTGGGGTTTTTAATAGGTCATTGTATATTAAGGTCATCTTTAACAGACAGAATACCACCTTGATTATAGCCATCAATATCCTATATATTCTAATAGAGTGGCACAGCACACAGGAAAATATTTGTTCAATAATTTATTATTCTTTCCATTTCCCATATCAGAAACAGAAAACCACATTCAATTAATTTCAATATCTTTGTTTACTTTAGTAGAACAACAATGCATTTATACCATTGTATCTGGACATAATATAGCTGCTAGAATATTTGCTTAACAGCTTATAACAAATTGGAAGAACCTATGCTCTGCAAAAAGAAAGAAAAACTTGTCTACATTTTCTAATGCAAATGCAGCGAATTCTGAACATCTGGTGTGAATTCTGATTCAAGGAAAGGATTTTCTCCCATTTTCTTTGTACCATTCAGCCACATACACCAACTAATTCTGTGTCTGTCTTCTCATTTCTCCCTCTCCAGCTTGCATTCTCGCTAGGAATGTGTACATAGGGCCTGAATGCACTGAAGAGAAGAGAGACTAGGAGAAGGCAATTTCACCTAAATGTTCAGTTCTGTCACAGTGCTCTGGATGTTATTTTGTGCGAGGATGAAACAACATAGCTCTGTCCTTCTCTCAGCAGCCAAGGTACCAGAGTCTGATGATCGCTCTTCCTGAAGCAGCAACAAAATTTTAAAATATTAATAGCTGGCACATTGTGGTGGTGCATCCTCTCCCCCTTATCCTTAGACATAAACTGTTGACCAAGTCTGAGACTAAGACTGGACCTAGCCTCACCTAGACTCCTCTCTGAGAAGGAGTTTAGAAAGCAAGGGGGTCTACTCTGAATCTCACAACTCAACGGGAGGATCCTCCTTATTCTCTGCATCCACGGTCTCTCTGTGAACCATTCCAACTGGAGTGTAACTTAATTTTCCTTTGTGTACTTCTTCCATGCAGTAATAGAGTGAACCTTGCCATTTTCAAATATCTAACTAAGTTGCTCTTCTAATTTTGTCAAATCACTTTGTTAATCGACTGATGATTGAGTGCTTTTGAAATATCACAATCCAATCCTGTGATTTGCCTTAAAGGCACACCTAAATCTTAAAGTGCTACTAAATCAAAACTGTGTAAAGTCACTCATTCACAACACACATTAAACATAATCCTTGCTCCTGATATAAGTCAGCAGAGTAACATCAGTACTCAAGGACATACTCATAAGGGAGCAGCCGCCAGTCCTTACAATGCAACCGGCAATGCAGCCTCCACCCGAGCTCCCGCTGTACCCAAAGGTGCTCTTCAAGAAGCAGGATTACCTGCACACAGGCAGGAGAACCCATCGTATTGGCATTAATGATTTCTGTACAGCTGACACTGTCCATTACAGTCTTTCACAGCACCAAGGTCTCCACTGAAATCAGCTAGAGATGGCCTCTGCTTTCCTGCAGGTCTGCGGCTCTGCTTTCATCTTCTCTTTCTAACTAGGGAACGCACTTAGTGACTCTGGCTACCTCGGTCATCTTTACTAACATTTTCCCCCTCTACCTCACCCTCTTGTCATGCTCTTGTTTGACACTTGCCATCAGTTGTTTTGTATCAGTGAGTATTCTTGTGTCAGAGCACAAAATATTCCTTATAAAAGAAAAAGGAAGCGAGAAAGAAAAAATGTGCAAATAGCAAGCCCCCACACAAACAGATTAATAGAAAATTCCAATCATATCTGCTCACATTGCTAAAGTCCTAGTGCTTTGTCTGCACATTTGTAACTAGGAAATACAAACAAAAAATGAAGTTATGAGGCTTCAGACCATTGCATAGGAATGGGGAGATCTTGCCAGCACCTACTTCTATACTGTGTCTTACCCTGCACCTCCAATTTTATTGCTTTGGTTGAAAAAAATAAAGAGTACTTGAAGAAAACCTTGTTGCATTTGGCCTAAACACATTGTGAAAATAACCATCAAAATTGCTTGCAAGCTAAAACTAAGATTGGAAAACATGTATAGAGCTGTGCAAGCCAGAATTTTTTTTTCGGGTCGAAGGTGCCATTAAAGCATGGTATTATTTATATCCCCCTAGTGTTTTGTTTTGGTTTTTTTTTTTTTTTTTTTTTGCTGGAGTTTAGAAAGTATAAACCAGCAAATAGAATTACTGCATTTCAGAAAGTTTTAAGTTGTCAGATATTGTGTGAGGCAGTGTGGAGGAATGTGCTCCACTTAGATTCACTCATGGTGAGTGGGAAACAGGAATTTCTAGCAGGTAAAACTGGTCATGCAATCTAGGCTGCAACACAGAAACCTAGACAACAAGCAAATATCACAAGAGTGGTCAGAAAACCCAAATGTTTCCACTGGGGAAAACAAAAGAGAAAAAAACTCTTGGTTAGAAACATCTTTTAAGTGGTTGCTTTCATTTTACAGATTTCAAAAAAAAAGTAAAAATACTACGACATTTTAAAATTTAAGTTTTAATTGGGCAATGTGAAGCAGAAGGAACCATAAGTTTTGAGGGGGTTTTGTAAGGTAGAGAAAAGATTTTTGCACCTTTTTCATATATTCATCTCATTTACTGTATCTCTGGCTGATGTTTTTATCCTTGAAGAACTGAAAGAAATAAACAGGAAGGACTTTCAGCATTTAATTATACCTATTAAAAGCCACTCTGACATGTAGAGGTAAATAATAGCAAAATAACCTTAATATAAATTTATAAGTGAAACTTTCTTGTAGAGTATCATCTTTTCTCTAGACCCAATAGTAACAGCAGAAAGAATTCAATGCCATGCATTCCCTGATGCTGTAATTCGTTTGAATCAATAGAGTTACGGTGGCAGAAAAGTACCATATGTGACGTCTATTCAAGTTAATACTAATGAATTCTGGGTTATATTATGTAATCAACTTTATGCACAATGAAATAATTGATTGTTTTTAATTGCATCCTTTCATGTTACTTAGTTCTTTGAAGAATGTAAATGACAGAGTTTAATATAAATAACCTTTGAATGTCCATTGAGGGCTATAGGCTGTTGCATAATACATTGCCGAATAGCTTCAAAAGGAGAAACTTATTCCAGATGACTTCCATGACTTCCTATGTCATCAATTTACAAACAGGTTTGTTGCATATTTAATACCATTAATTTATAACTGCCCTGGGGATAGTAACTTAAATTATATTAATTATTGTTTTCATTACCACAGCTCCTACAGTCCTAACTTGTAGAGCACATTTTTATTGTCTTGGTTACCTTATGAAGACAAATGAACTCTTCTATTTAATCTCTTGCATGCTCTATATACATTCAGCATGCTGCCTATTTTGTAATTTAAATTGAGATCCCATTGTCAGTGATTGCTTCCCAGGATTTCCTTCTGGAATACAGATTGCTAAAGTGAAATTTAATATGCTGGTTCACATTACCACTTCTTCCACTGATTTGCTAATGTAAGTCATTTCGCTAATAAAACAACACCCTGAGAAAGCCTCACTCTTCAAATATCAAGTACTTCCTTTTGAGCCTGTTTATTTATTTGTGTAAAGGACAGAAAAGGAAATATCTGCATAAATAATAGCAAAATAACAAGCGTGTGCATCATACCATAGGAACACATTGACTGATGAGCTGGTTTGGTCAGAGCGCAAATTCACATGCCCGTAATTCCTGCGTGATAAATATAGCTCTAACGCATGCAGCACAGCGAAAGCTGCTCGCCCAGCCAGGGAGAGGGGCCATCCGAAAACACAGCCCGGGTTGTGTAACCTCTCCTTAAACTCCTTTTCTCTTTTCAGTCGAAAGTCAAACCACAGAAGAGACATTGTCTCCTCCTTGAGACAGAGAACAAGGCTAGTCTACCACGGATGAAATGATCAGGTAATGAGACATAGGAATCTTCAGCGTATCCTGACTTACTATAGCTGTCACAGTAACCTAACGTGGATTAGCTGATTATTGTGTAATATGAGCTCTGGCTTATCTAAAACCTTTTACAAACAGCAGCAGATGATCATCTGAACACCAACTTTAAATCTGTGAAACTTCAGGGGAAAAGCTAAATCCACTCCAAAAGTCCAGGATGAAATTACAGCCCAGCTGAAGTTTCTGCCAAAATTCCCACTGACAGCTGTGGTTCAAGAACTTCCCTAGGCCCTGTGATGTGCCCATTGTATCACCTTCAGCAATTTCCTTTTGCTTCTTTCAGTACAGCAGCACACACTAAAACACACACATGGACAAATATCTTTTGAAAATTAATGTGTGTAAAGCCCTAGAAAGAGCAAATGAGTAACAGTATAAAACTGTAATCTATTATTCAAAATGCAAGAGCCCATTCAGATGAAGTGTTTCTTTTCAACAATAATTTTAATTAGCTCTTCAGCCCAGCAGACTTTATACAACTTAATTGCTCTTTCATACTGCTCTACACATATGCAGCTAAGCATGGTGAAAAGTAAGTAAAGATAACCTTTAATTTCCTCCTTTGCAAAGGGGGAGCAAAATACCTTGCCTGTTATGTTTAATTGATTTAATTAAATGCAGTTTGACTAAATAGCCATAAAACATTAGACCTTAAGGTGACCTGGGTCTCTAAATCGTATTTTAGGAATCACTGACACCCTTAAAGCCCTTATTTGCTCCAGCCTCTTAAACCTCATAGGAAGCAACATCTTCCAAGGTAAAAAGACCTCTGTTGTAACACCCCAAGCTGCTCTAGTCCATCACCCGTGCACAAACTTCCAGGTAAGCAATTCCACACCCAGACTGCCTCCAGCTACTCCCTCAGCAGGTAATCACCATTTCCTTCTGCCTGTCCTGCATTCATTTTACTGTGTAGCTCAATCAGAAATGACAGGGAAATATTGCTGCTGATTTTGCAC